TCTATAATGACTTCGTATATCATCAGGTGAGTCTCAGAGGAGACTGCCTCCTAAATGTCTATAATGACTTCGTATATCATCAGGTGAGTCTCAGAGGAGACTGCCTCCTAAATGTCTATAATGACCTCGTATATCATCAGGTGAGTCTCAGGAGCCAGGCCCCCGAGGGACAATAATGATCCAGTAGATCAACAGGTGAATGAAGGTTTTTTTTTTTTGGTGGTAGATTAAGCTATGCTGATCAAGACTAGGGGGACCAGATAATCCATGTCGGGGAGGACACATTGAGCTACTTCGGGTTTCAAACTGAAAGGCTCCTATGCTCGGCTAAATAGTTCAGCTCTTCTTGTGCTTTGACTGGTTTATTTCCTTGACTGAAAGACTCATCCAGCTATTTGACATCAGTATTAGTGACACATGCATGATTATAGGAGACTGACCAATCAGCACACAGCAAGAACTCAGTGCTCAAGTGAAATCCAGGTCCGTCTAATTGAAATGGTAATTTACAATTCCTGTCCTAGCTCAGAGTATCCTCCCTGACATGGATTATCTGGTCACCGTAGATCAAGACGCCTCCCTCGTCATTCTAGATTATTATAAAACACATATGTACACACACACACTTTCTCACTGAATATCACAGGAGTTTATCCAAATCCTCAGGATTAATGCGTCAGCTGTGAGGCTTAATATCCATGGTATGGAAGCATGCAGATTTAATGTTCTGTACAAGGCAAGGTCATGAGGCCCCACGCACGGATGATGCCTCAAATGAGTATCAGAACCACAGAAGGTGTTAAACCATGCACTTCACAGTGCTGAGGGCCCTTTCTTCACCTCTTTTCCTCCATTTATTTTATGCCTCTTCTATTTATATATTTTCGTTACCCTAAACAGTGCTCTGTAGCTGCAATGAAGTTTTGAAGGGATGAGACATCTTATCATAGCGTTTTAGCACCCTGTGCCATACTGAAGGCCCAGCACCTGCTGAGAAATGCCTGTAGAAGTGCCATTGTTTCCCAGTCTGGTCCTAGGTTTCCCACAGGTGGTCAATGTTTTTGCTCCTCCCGAGCACCCTACCAGTCAGTTGGGAGGGAGCAAAAACATGATCTGTCTGAGGCCCCGAGGACCAGATTGGGAAACACTGATGCAGAGCCGCCGCCCTAGATTCACCATAACGTCACCACATAAAGTGTATTCCGGTATTGCAGCACTTTGCTTTGTCACAGTTGGATAATTCCCCAGTCTGCACAGGCTTGCAAAGTAGGGTGAGCTTCTGTCCTCTTCAGCGGAGGGTGGGGAGGCCGTACACGTGCGCCAGTTCACCTTTCGGCTTTGCCTGTATGTAGGACACGTTTCATTTCGTAATGGATGACTGTTCGCTTTCTAATCGGAAACGGGCCCATTTAGAGCTGGAGCCCTAGTAGCCGTCCGCTTTTCTCTTTCTTTTCAGCAAAGATAAACGCAGTGTCATCCAAATAGAGGTCCGTTCTCCTCGAGAAGCTGTCACTTGCCAAAGTCATTAATCTGCACCACTGGGCCCCCCACTCAGGCTTTCTGTGGGCCTGTAATCATCCTCTGGTTTCTGGCAGCTTGCAAACCCCCCCCCCGACATACACACACACACACACACACACACACACACACACACACACACACACACACACACACGCGCACCTCGTCCCCTGCGATGGTGGCAGTCACACCCTTCCTCAGGCCTCACTGACGGTCCGGTTGAGGAGGACAGTGTGATTATGCAGTATGCATCCTGCTCTCAAGGTCTGTAGTCCTCATCTCCTAATGATGTGCTCCGGCGAAAGACATGTTTTATGCAAATGAGGCCTTGTATATCCCTTCCAGGCAACCGGAGAGGCCTTACTGGCTAGCTAAAATTAAATATGAGAGGGAATTCAACTCCTTTTTTTTTTATAAAACACTGCACGTGCTGCAGTTTTTCACTTTACTCATTATACAGCCCAATTTTTCCACCAAAACCATTCAGGTTAATTACGTTACTCGAGGGTACAATAGCAGGACTCCTCTTGAGACTTGAACCGGTAGCCTTTCCATTCACTGCTATTATTATTTTATATATAAAAGCTTGCTCTCTGGTCCATATCTCACAGAAGCTTCAGAAATGGCTGCAAACTTCGTGCATTCAGAGCAAGTATCTGTCGCAACAGAGAAGGTCCCAATTTATATTAGAGGAAAGCTGTATGTCTTGATGATGCATGAATGGATGGTCAATATGAACGTCTGGAAGAATGCTCTCATATTGATTGGTTAATGTGAGCCTGTGCCTTTCTGGCAACAGTAAATAATCTGGGGTATTGTGATACAAGGGAGATGGTACCTAGTCAAATATCAAGACCAGTAGAGGAAGATGGATTTACCTAACTGGAAAATCGATGTAAATCCCCAGCTCACAATGCAGACCTATGGGGGTGGGGGCTGGGAAGGCAAGGCTTGAGTTTTATTTCAATCTGTACTTGACTTTTTAAGGCAACCTCTAGAATTTAGATTTGCCATCACATCAGAGGATTGATGAAGGACTGTTGTGACGGCACGTAGGACTTGCAGATGGATCACAGGAGGCCAAGGCCATCGCGTCACTGACCCAGTCGCTCCTCAAAGCCTTCACTTGACGCCTTTGCATGAGTTTCTCAAGCTGCCATTAGAAAGGAATTTGTATCTGATCGCGGTTTGCCTATATCTTCACGGCAACTGGAACACGGCGGGAAACGCAGAGGTTCTGCCGTGCAGACCCTGGGTCTCCTTCCCCGGAGTCCTGTAAGTCGACGGTGGAGTCAGTGTCTGACATTCTTTTTCACTGGTTGGTACTGAAGTGCGGGTGGAATAAGGAAGGATGAGGTAACATCCTAGCTGATGTTTCCAGGGAGTTTTTCAAGTATTATGGGTCACTTAGCTTGAAAAGTTCAATCTGACAAGTCTTTCGATTAGAACGCATCTAATACTGGATTTATGATGTATGTTGTCTGCTTGTGTCTTGTGTACTTTTTTTGTAACATTGCGAGCATGTTTGTCATTGCGGGTATGTTTCTAACATTTTTAACCAACTTAATGGACATGTTTATATTTTTCAGTTCAAGGAAATCCGTGCAGGGAAAGCAAGAAATATTTTTAGGGTTATTGATGAAACGGACCGCCGGTTCGGTGTTTTGATAAGAACTGCGCTGAGACTCGTTGAGATGCTGGAGGCACCGCAGACGTCTTGGCTCGCCCGGTGCAGGCCATATGCCGCTGCTGCCTCCGCTCCTGCCTCTGCTGCTGCTTCGTGACGTTCACAGCATCGTTTTTTCCCCCCCCCCTGCCTCAGTTCTCCTCCAGCTGGCCGGCGATGCTCTACCCAAGGACACGATGCTGGCGTTGGCCTACCTGCTCGCCCTGCCTCAGGTACGATCTCTCTCTCTCTCTCCTAAGGAGAAAAGCAGCTCTGTGGGGTACAGTACTTGTTTTTGAGAAGAAGTGTACGATCTTAGTAACCTTGTCTGATTTGCAATCAGGCTGACACATTTCAGACAAAGTAGTGCGAGCTTCATAATCTTTATAACCCTGTTTTTGATATTGAGAGAACTGTTTACTTCAAGTTCACTATCTAGTACTATAAACATAATATATTTTAATAAAATAGTTGATAAGTAACCCCTTACAGGTCATTAACTGTCCTCTAACATCTGTATCTCAAATGATGGCATAAAACTCAAATGGAGGGGAGAATGATTACAGCGTGCTCTGTGCAGGTCTGGTTTCCAGAGCTTAAGAGAAATAAATGATCAAGATAATGGATCCAGTGTTTTTGCTGAAGTTTTTAAGCTGGTGGGTTTTTAGCACATTTCCTCAAACTAAGCACAGATGCCTAAGATTAACGTCTCTCATTGTCTTTAGAAATCTAACCAGACTTATAAGCTCTACAACCAGTGGGGACTGCACTGAATTTTTTTTTCTGCTGCATCTATAAAATGCCACCTTGAATGTTGTCCTCAGTAAAACCTCTTGATTTAAAAAAAAAAAAAAAAAGGCTTCTTCCAAGTTCAGCCAAGTTGAACATATTTGAAGAAGAATACTCCACGCTGCTGTGGAAAATAGCAAACACTCTGATCACATTTTTAAGAGTTCATTGAACTCTGAAGTTGAGAACATACTGCCCTCTCGCCCCTGTGTCCAGAGTCCTCAGGCTGTGGCATTCCTGCCGAACATTAAAAAGGCAATTCACCCCAAAACAAAAAAAAAAAAAATACGACATGTTGCAGATATGCTGTAGGGCATGAAGTTAGTGCCCGGCCATTCGCGCTGCTGACAATGAGACCATAACTTCTGCACAGTTTTATGGTTGATGTGTGATGTTTGGTAGAAAGAAGCCGTATAGTAGAAGCCTCAAACTGCTATAAGGTCCGTGGATTATCTTGAGTAACCAGGTCATGATTTCTGATGAGTGACATTGCTGTTGAATTTTTCAAATGTATTTTTCTGGCACTTTAATTACCACAGAAAAAAATGCCATTATATTTGCAAGAAGACTGACAATTCTTCGGCCGATATCTCTGAAACTAGGCACCTGTCAACTCAACAATCTACATCAATGTTTCCCAGCCCAGTCCTCAGGAACCACTAGCCAGTTTGTTTTTGCTCCCTCCCAGCTCCCTGCCAGACAGTCCCAGAGCTGGGAGGGAGCAAAATCATGCACTGTCTGGGGATCCCGGAGGGCCGGGTTGAAAAACACTGATCTAGATAGATAAATAGCCCTACAGCATCTGAAACACTTTTTTTTTTTATTTTTTTTATTTGGGGTGAATTTTGCCTTTAAGCCTCCCTGCATTCCATCTTGGCTTGTGTTCCTACACACACACACACAAATAAAACTGGGGAGTGCTCATTCATTTTCATTAGCAAACCATAATCCCAACAATGACAACCTTAACCCCTACCCAGCCCTAACCTTAACCAAACAAAAATGCAAGACTTTTGACATTTTTAGTTATTTGACTGCTGTGACAGATTTTTGTCATATTGAATTTCCCCTTGTGGGGAATGAGAAAAATGGTCCCCACAATGTCAAAGTAATAGGTTTTTATCACTTTGTGGGGACATTTGGTCCCCACACTATAATATATACATAACCCGCACACATATACACACACACACATCTGCATACGTGTAGTGGTGTGGACACAGGATTCAAAATCATTGACTGAACAGTGTCATCACCGGATCCAGGGAAAAAAATGACATTACTGGGACCCCCGTGATACACAACCCCTCCCACCTGGGCTCTCTGCTGGAGCCCAGAATGCCTACCAAGTGTCCCCCCAAAATGGCGGACCTTGGCCTAATTGTTAACCACTAGTCAGAAACCTGAGCCGGCTTGTGCCACAGCCTGACGGAGCTACTTATGTTTACACGGTGGGGTTCCTGTGTCGGGCTCGCCGGAGGGGGTGGGGGCGTCATGGCCTTTCTCCTTCCCATGCCACTGAAGGGGAGAGTGATCACAGCTCTCTGTACCTGCCATCGGTGTAATTGCATCTCGCCGTTGCCGATGCCACTTGTCTCGAGAACACTAATTTATATTCTGATTTAGGTCCTGGACGCCAACAAGTGTTTTGAGAAGCTTCCTCCATCCGCACTATCGCTACAGCTGGCTGCTTATTATTACGCCTTGCAAATATATTCACGATTGGCTCCCTGCTTCAAGGACAAGTGTCACGCTCTGTACCGGGTGAGTGCCTGGCGTCCTGGGTAAATACCTTTTTTAAAGGTCTCGTTTTTTATGCTAACGTCATTGAAGGTTCACACCCCGTCCTCTCTTCTGAGGTCGAACTTTCGAAAGCGAACGATGGCCAAAGCTCCGATTCGGTTATTCTTTTACGTCATTTCCTTGTGCATCTTTGCCTGGAGATTCATTAAGGCTGATGTTCAACTTTTTAGCGGGATCCGATGGGAATGAAACGACATGGCGGAGCCTCTCAGGGGTCCGAGGTTAGATGGACATAGCGTACGGGAAAGATCGGTCTGTGACGTCGACGCAGGAAGCTAATAGGGTATGGCTGCTTTTACAGTCTCTAATCGTAAGCTGGACTCATCATCGACTCCTCTAGGGTAACTGCTGCTGGAACGTCAGTTAAATGTCCATCTTTACATTTCAATCGACTTCCAAACAAAGTTCTTAGCAGGGATAAAATTTGTCCAGATGCTGTTTTTTAATGAAGTGGAGAAGGTTTTATCCCCAAGCCTCATTCCAAATTGCGATCTTAAATAAATCCTGCTTGTTTATAACCCTATCCCCAGTGCCCGCTTCGCAAAGGCTGAGCTGTTTCATTTTGCTGAGCTGGAGGGAGTCTGTAGGCCCGACTGGAACACGGGAACGTAGCGTCCGCAGAACAGAGGAACAAAGCCCCCAAAAGTTCCCCTGTCTCTCGCGCCTGTCTGCGGCTGCAGCCAACACCCAGTAGAACCGCCATCGCAAGTTGTTTGCAGAATGTCGCAGGAAATCGTGAAAGCAGGGAGGATCCTTGTCCCGGTGTCATCTTGGGATCCTCCAGCCCCGTGATTTCAGCAGGCCCTGTTAGAGCAGGTCTACCGTCGGCTTGCTGCGCCGGTGATTAATACAACTTCAGCAGGTTCTCTTTTCTTCCAGTGCAGTGTTTGGATAGAAAATGTATATATTCAGTATGGAGGATCATATGTGTATGATTACTGTTCTTTTTTTGTTTTGAATATTCTCATGGCAGCATTTAACGTGAGGAGGTTTGGGAGGCATCAGCCCCCGTCTGGTGCCTCCAGAGCTGTGAATTGGCCACTGGGGCTCAGTACTCACGCACACGTCCTGTCCCCTGCCCCTATTCATGTCATCTGCTGTCGTACTCAGTGTTCTTCCCCTTCCCCCTAAGGAATCTTGGTGAGGAGTACTGGTGGGTGCATAGTGTACTGGCTTACCCATATTGTGCATTTGCAGACACAGCTACAATAATCATTAGCGCACACACATAGCTATAGCATACAGTGAGCATTAGCGCACACACATAGCTATAGCATACAGTGAGCATTAGCGCACACACATAGCTACAGCATATAGTGAGCGTTAGCGCACACACATAGCTACAGCATATAGTGAGCGTTAGCGCACATGTGGCTACAGTGAGGCTACTAGTGCACAAATAGTTACAGTGGGAATTAGTACACACATAGCCACAGAAGGCATTAACATGCATGCACACAGCAATAGTGAGAATTAGCATGCACACACACACAGCTACAGTGGGCATTAACACGCCACGCACGGGGCTACAGTGGGCATTAGCACACCTCACACACGGCTGCAGTGGGCATTAGCATGCTCACACACGACTGCAGTGGACATTAGCACGCTCACACACGGCTGCAGTGGGCATTAATACACCACACACAGCTGCAGTGGGCATGAACACGCTCGCACACACAGCTGCAGTGGGCATTAGCACGCACACACACGGCTACAGTGGGCATTGGCACACGCACACACGGCTACAGTGGGCATTGGCACACGCACACACGGCTACAGTGGGCATTGGCACACGCACACACAGCTACAGTGGGCATTAGCACGCGCACACGGCTACAGTGGGCATTAGCACATGCACACACTGCTACAGTGGGCATTAGCACGCACACTCACATGGCTACAGTGGGCATTAGCATGCGCACACACAGTGAGCATTAGCACACGCACACGGCTACTGTGGGTATTAGCACGCGTGCACACACAGCAATGGTGGACATTAACACACACACACACACACACCTGTTGTGGGCTAAAACAAACACTCACACACACCTACAGTGTACTGGAAACCACACGCACACACGCAACCCACCCTACCGTGGACTGGAGTCCGGGCCAGACCATTCCCTGCCTCTCATCCTGAACCTCCTCCCAGGATGCGTTCTGGATCTGTGCTCTGAGCCACTTGCTGGAAATTTGATTTATGACAGCTCTTGGCAGTAATTTACACAACACTCATAATATCATGCGCTTTTTGTTGCAGTTCTTTTCTGAGTTTGTATGTATATAATTTTATTTAAAAAAACATTGAGATTTATTTTCATTCGTGCACCTTCCATTTTAAGTCCATATTTAAGCAGGAGGGCAGGTGATAAAGTAATGAAGGATCCTACAAGGGTAGCATAGAAAAGTGTTTATGCCACAGTGTTTGTGTGTGAATGTCGGTCATTACTGTCGGCCTCAGGGTGTAATTATCGGTGGGGTTGCGCCGTTCTGACTCTCTGCTGATGCATCTGGGGTCATCTGAACCGAGTCACGGTGACCTTAGAAAGGGTTGCTTCAGGTAGGGTCTGGCCAGCTGCCGATTAGCGATCCGCTTCCCGCCTGGCATTTTGTTCGGTTGAGTTACGGTAAATCTGGCAGGGCGGACATCTGCGGTGCAAACACGCCAGGGCCCCAGCCTGTCCCTGAGATGGCATGGCTCCATCCTTTCTTACGCGATTACCTCGCTTTGTGCCGCTGATGTTTGTACAGTGTCTCTTCTGGGTTCTTCTTTTCTTGTCATCCATCCCACCATGGTGGCGCATCCTGTTTATGCAAAAGATGGAGTTTGAGGTGTTACGGGGTGTAATGGAAATGCATGATCCGTGCAGTGAGGCTTTGTGAATCTTATCTCTTTGCCGAGTCGTGCGATGTGCTCGTGACGGTTGTCTCTTACAGCTGCTGCTGCAATTCACGCCCGTGGATGTTCTGAACCATTACATAACAAATACGCATACAGTTTGCATGGCATTTGCAAGCTAACATAATGTTTTCATCAAACTGAAGTGTATAATTCTGTCACATGTAGGAGTGTAAACCTGATCATGTTTTCTGTGACAAACAGCCAACCCCCACCTCTCAAATTGTCCAATTACTTTTCTTTCACTTAATAGGACAGTTAATGGTTATGTGCTAATTCACGTAGTGGAATTCAGCAAATTGACTTTATTATCCTTAGACCAAAATAAAAGTCCCCCCTCATCCTCCTCCTTAACACCCCCATAGAGGTAGGTGGTTTTGAAGGCGCTGGAAGTGTTGTTGTTTTGTGGAGCGAGCCTAGAGGAATCTGCGAATTTGTGTAGTTTTGCAAATTTGTGCCGTTTCATCCCCTCTGACATCCCCAGCTGCCCTGTGGTCTCGTGATGAACTGCTGACTCACAGTGTGATTGGCCACCTGCTGCCCCCCCTCCCGGAAGCAAACTCCCCTGTTGTGATGCCCACCCCCGCTGGCTTTTCCACCCCTACTGAGGCGCTTTGTCGATTAGCATTCGCCATCACATGCGTGACACATCCTCCCATTAGAGTCCTGTGCCTTCAGACATCCCCCCCTATGTAGGTTATCAGTGACTTAATGTGCAGTAGGCGTAGTATAATTGTTAATTACACTTAAAATAATAACATTTAAACATTTATGCTGAATGCTGACGCAAATCAGAATGCATATTTTTACAAGAAGGGTGGCCCAGTTCTATGAAATGGTTAACTTTGCTACCGGGGGGCCTGTTACTGAATTTAGCTCTTATTCAACAGTTTATGCAGGTGGGTATTTTATTATGTTAATAAACCAATGATTCAGATTAAGTGCTTTAGTCAGGGATGCTGTAGTAGGCACCCTCCGGGGATTCAGAGGAGTATCCCACACCTAGTCTTTGGTACCACTTAGAGACCCTCGTAGCAAGACCTAGTAGCCAGTTTGCGAAAGATGAAACTGCGACCAGTCCACTACTCCTCAGAGGAGGGCGCCATTGAGTGTCTAGCTGGCTTACCCATCACACAGGCTGTGGCACGATGGCATTTTGTCAGGCCAGGACTGCTGGAGCGCACCAGTATGGGGGGGCTCTGTACCCATTCAGGGGCTGCAGCCTTCTAAGGCCAATAATCCCGGATAATGGAAAGATGGCCCCTGTACTGGGGGTTGGGGGGTTCTGTCTTGGAGCATCTTCCCATCACCTTGTCAGAAGTGCTTTGTGATGCTGCGGTGTTTCTGTTTTTAGCATGGTGCCCTGGAGTCTAGATCAGAGCGCAACTCCACTGCGCCATCTCAGGAGCTGTGGGGCGGGGGGCGAGACGGGCCCCGGGGCCCCCATCTCTCTCGGGAGCTGTGGGGCGGGGGGCGAGACGGGCCCCNGGAGCTGTGGGGCGGGGGGCGAGACGGGCCCCGGGGCCCCCATCTCTCTCGGGAGCTGTGGGGCGGGGGGCGAGACGGGCCCCAGGGCCCCCATCTCGGGAGCTGTGGGGCAGGGGGCGAGACGGGCCCCGGGGCCCCCATTTCAGGAGCTGTGGGGCAGGGGGCGAGACGGGCCCCGGGGCCCCCATCTCTCTCAGGAGCTGTGGGGCAGGGGGCGAGACGGGCCCCGGGGCCCCCCATCTCTCTCAGGAGCTGTGGGGCAGGGGGCGAGACAGGCCCCAATGCCCCCATCTCGGGAGCTGTGGGGCAGGGGGCGAGACGGGCCCCGGGGCCCCCATCTCTCTCGGGAGCTGTGGGGCGGGGGTGAGACGGGCCCCGGGGCCCCCATCTCGGGAGCTTTGGGGCGCTGGCGAGACGGGCCCCAGGGCCCCCTTCTCTCTCGGTAGCTGTGGGGCAGGGGGCGAGACGGGCCCCAGGACCCCCTTCTAGGGAGCTGTGGGACAGGGGCAAGACTGGCTGGGTAAGATCTCTGTAGCTGGGTTCACACCGCCAGCTGCTTCACCTCAGCAAATTGGAGACGCTACCATGAACCTTATATCAGGCTGTGGGCCGAGGAGGTGGTTTTATTGACGGAGATCAGGAGCATGTTCACTGTGGGTTAGTCTGAGCACCGTCGCTGCCATCATCCCCCCCCAGCCCCCCCAGCGGTGTCAGAGAGCTCAGCTAATTCCAGAGATTATTGCAGGCTAAATCATAGAGCCAGATGCCAGACTGTGCTTCCTAATTTACAGTAGTTTGTATTTTCATTTATGTATTTGCGTTTTCACGCGGGACCTGTGTTTCCCTTACAGGCACTAAGATATTAATTCTTCTTGAACGACCTTAATGGGGGGGGTGGGGCTGTTTAGCATAATCGTATCCCTGATGTATTTGTGCCGTGACATCTTCCACAGAGTAAAGAAGTTAAGGCTTTAACCTGGCCATTCGTCTAACTCCCGGCTCTCAGTCTCGCTGAGCTGCGTATTGATCGCCAGGCCTCACGGCTTAACGCCACAGCGGTCAGGAGACGTCCGGGCTTCTCCTCCACTGTTAAAAGCTTAATCATGGAGAAAACAGCCGCGCAGGAAATTAAATTAAGTAATATAAACAAAACTGGAAAATTGCTGCGATTAATCAACATTAGTGTGTCCCTCTTAGAATCCATTGATTAGGGAGAATGTATATATGTTTTTTTTATAATTCCAGGGGGAAAAAAAAAGTATATTTTATAAGAGCTACCCTGGACGTATGGTTGAATAGAGCACTGCAGTTAACAAACTGGGTAACTTGCTGCTTTAAGTGCTCCGGTCAGCCGCTGTGGTTTTACTAATCTGGATATCTGAGGGCCTCCTTATCTTTTATTCTCCTTCTCGTCGCCCGATCAAAGCGCCCACCTGTCGCCTTTTTAACGGTCCGGCTTATTTATTTGTTGCTTGCTGCCGCTGCTGTTTTGCATTGTTGGTATCTCCGCTATCTAAAATTGCATCTGGAATGAGTGGAGCAGGAACGCCCCTCCCTCAATGTCATTTATTTTATTTTTTATTTTTTTTATCTTTGCAGCGGTCTGGGTGTCACGGTGGACGTGGGCCTCACATGGCACATTATACGGGCGAGCAGCATTGTGGGCGCTTCCATCGGCATTCGGGGATGAATGAGCAGCTCCACGAAGTGCCTCGTCAACCCAGGGAGCGATGGCGGGGGGGGGGGGGGTGGTGATACTGGAGAGATAATATTGGCTGGGATCTTAATGGAGATTCCTAGTTTTTGATACGAGTCGTTGAGATGGGGGGGGGGTCTCTGAACCTGCCCCACAACAAAAGCCCCGGCTGCTTTTTCATCCTGCTCGACCGGTGGTCCTCATTTGCTGCATGTTGGGTCTACGTTAAAATGCATGTTTACGGGCATGGTTAAAGGTGTGTACCGTCTGCAGTATCGAGCCGCTGATCGTGACAGAGACTGAGAGCACCGTTATTGCTTCGACATCAGCTAGAGAATCCGGCACAGCCTACAACACTAGGTCAGCTGGTGCCTCCTTACTTTGCTAGCATTATCTGGCCTGTTTCCATCACCAGATCAGAAATTGCCAGCACCTGCGACACACAGATGCAAGATCGGGGACCCTGGTGTGGTTGGTCTTCACGAATAACGTGTAGTAGTCATCAGACAGCCTTATTCTGATTAGCCTTGTCTAAGACATGATATTGCATCTGGAATCCATGTAGCGATCTTGGGTCCTAAAAACGGCTTAAGTCTAAAATCCTATGATCTAAATTTTAGGCCTAAAAATGTCTTACAATTGTGAAATACGATTTTGACAGTACTTATAATTGATTTGTTGCATTAAGTCTCCCTTTCAAATGTGTGGTTGGGAAAATTTTGTATTGATCATACTATAACAAAACTACAGAACGAAACCAACACAGAACCAATAATCAGTAACCATTAATTGCAAACTGTGTAGCCTGATCAGAATAAAAGCATGCTCAGTTAGTGTGTGAAAGTGTGGTGGGTCGGTTATTGTGGCCTCTCCCCTCAACAAAAACAATACTTCAATGTTCATGTTGATGTCAATAAGTAATTTTGGGACTCATATTTTTTTTGCCAATATGGATGTGGATTGGGACTTAAATAGCATTTATAATGGTCTTAAAAAGGTCTTTGGAAGTCTTAAATTTAACTTGTTGAAACCTGCAGAAAGCCTGTCTTGAGTCAAAAACACCTATAGATGACACTAATGTGGATGAATTGTGAGCCACACGTTTGTTCCCTTAAATAAAAGCACCGTCGGCTGGCCCCGTCCACATACAGACTGACCACGCCCACATACTGGCTGACCACGCCCACCCTGCCCCCTTACATGCTGACCCCGCCCACCCTGCCCTCTCACAGGCTGACCCCAGGATGCTGATCCAACTGGTTACCAAGCACGTGAACGACCATGACATAGTGGCCTGGCCCGAGGAACTGGAGAAGCTCATTGGCCAGCTGCACCTGTACAATGAACGGCTGACCGACTTCACCCAAGCACAGATACTGCAGGGCCTGGGCCGCGGTGTGGATGTGCAGAGATTCTCTGCCGACAGCAAGTATAAGAAGGAGACCATCCTGGGCCTGGCCGAGTAAGTCTCTGGCTGTCTGTCCTCCCTCAACGGATCTTTTACAGTAGCGTCATGTATGGGTACCTTTCCATTTTGGTCCTGGGTTGGGATGTTGCTGTGGCAAAGGGAGCAGAATCCGGAATCAGAATTTATCAGAAAAACTTTCTGTTAAATGTAACATTGCTCTGCTTTAGGACCCTGGAAGAAAATGTATACAGGATATCCCTGTCCCTCGCCCAACGGTACAACATCCCACTTTGGGAGGTCTACATGACCCATCTGGAGTTCCTCTTCACAGACAGCGGGTAAGTACTGTTTGATTATTAATTAAAGAGCCATTAAAGCTACTTAAAAGTGAACTGGTAAATCCCTCAAGGGTGGGTGGATGGAGAGTTGATTTAATGGGATGGCCAATTAGCAGAATCATAATAGTTAAATATCACGGTCTATTACCTTGTGAACGCTCGGATAAACAGGATGTTCATTTGCATTAGCCAGGAGAGTTGCAAAGGTGCCTATTTGCCAGGCCTTTGGTGGGTAACGCTCATTGTGTTTACAAAATCCCCAACCTGCACCACCACCATATCCCAGTCCTAAGCATGCTGGGGTCCATGGGGGCTTTGGGGGATTTTCACAGGGAGCAGCGCACTGTTAAGTGTCATTATATTAAGGCAGCAATGGAGCAAACCCCTCTGTGTCTGGGCGGGGAGTTGCGGTCACACCCCCGCATCCCTCTCTCTCTGTTCCACCGGTCTTTATACAGGATTTACTTGTCTGCTGTCGCATGACTAAAGTCTAAGTTGAGAGGCGGCCTTGTTACACAACAAGAAGACCAGTTACTTACTTGGAGAAAGGGCACATTCCTTCCAGCAGGTGGCATGGCAGTGAAGAGATCAGGTAAAAGATCCTGCTTCAAATCCCAGCAGAAGACTTCCTTCTATATACAGTACTTACAAGTATGTGTTTGCGTGCCATCAGATGCAGAGAGGAAACAAGAGGAATGGTTTTAAAATAAGTATATAAATGTTCAAATCCACTTATTTAGTCTGCTAACTGCTGCCCTTTATATTCCTCTGGCCGTCTCCGTGCTCAGCACCCCAGCACATACACGGCGCCCCCGGTCTGTCAGAAAGGAATCCCGTATACAGCCGTCTGAACGCTGAACTCCGTCTCCTCGATGAGCGTGTCGAGGCTAATGCTCCACAGAACGAAGAAATCGGACGCCCTGCTCACTGTGTCTAATTCCTGTTCGTTCTGGAAGTGATATAAATAGAACTTATCCGATTTCAGTATATTTCATAGTACGTTTAAACTCAGTCGCTACTCATGACTCCCGAATTTTTTTTTGCTTTTTACTATTCACTTTAATCAGTTTGTTTTCCTGTTTTCCCTTCGCCATATAAACTCGCAATTAAATCTTTGCGTGCCTCAATTCGGAATTCTGGTTTTATTTAATCACTATGTTAATCAGACGGCACGTGTTCGACCAGAGGGATTTAACAACGTGGCAAAGAAGATTAATTATTATCATTTATTTTTTTTCAAATTATGCTTGTTTCCGCCGTGTTATGCAAGCGCTTGGTATATTTTGATAATAAATAGCAATATAATCACATAGTGGCTGGAAATTTCTCCTATCATTTCATCACATGCAAATGTGTTTTTGTAGGAGAGATTAAAGCCTCCCTTTCGAATGAAAGATTTGATTGGTTGCTGAGGTCGGTAATACGAGAGAGCGATACTGGGGTGCGATCACGTGTGAAGCATAACAAAAATGGGGGTTTATCGCATGGCATATTGCACGTCCCTACGCTAGCCTCCTCCCCGCTTGTTCCAATAACACGAGAAGCGATAAGAGGCTGTTTCTGAGGTTTCTCCATCACGTCACCCCCGCCCCCCCCCCATCGGTATGGCCTTTTTTTTAACACTCATCGCATCCCCACAGATCTGGACGGTCATGTGCCTGTCTGGTTGTGTGTCAGGTCAAGGACTCTCTTTGCTAGATAATGACCCCTCTCCTGGAGCACCTCTAATGATACCCCACCCCCCGCCTGCTAAGTGGCTCTTTCCTTGGGTAACTGGATCATACCACGTATGCACTTTTCAGCATGGGGGGGGGGTGATTATCTGGCTGTGTTCTAGAGTCATTTTGTTCTATTCATAATATATGAATTCATTATATGTATACACACACAATCTGATCGTTTTTTTTCCTGAGGATACAAGAACAGTAGATTTGCGAATTTCTGGTTACGGTAGAAATTCTTTAACCACTGGTACCTGTCGTTCATTTGGCCTTTTAGTAAGTTGCTGGTAGAATCAGGATTCTTGCCCAGTATGTTGAAAGGCGCCTTATTCCCCCAGCAGACAGACGGTGAAAGTCTTCTTGGCAGCTTTAAAGGTACTAGTTGTAATTTATTGATAACGCAACTCTATAAAACATTTTCCCACATCAAAATTCAAAGGACAAGGGCCACTTGAATATTTATTGAGTTGTGGAAAGCTGTTTATCTTTGTGGGGGGGGAGAGAAAAGGCATTCAATTAGGAAAAGGTGCAGATGTAGTTGAATTCCAACTTATGAAGTTGGAGTAAAATATGTAAATAGATCCAGGGCACATAGACCTCAGCAAAATCTATTTCTCTGATTTACAGGAGGCTTGTAAATGTCTCCTGTATATCAATGTCAATGTGTGGTTATTCCCCTTTTTTTCTTCCTCTGTTCCTGCTGTTGGTATCAGTGGTCTTCAATTCAATCATAATATACATCTGGCTGTTGACTAAAACCTGCGTACAATCCTACCTAAACACTTGATTCTTTCATGTGTTCGTATCAAAAAGATTATGCTTTCATTCTCGTCTTCTCAATGACAGGGTGCATTGTTCTCCTCCTTCTGCGCAATTTGTACAGTTTCTGCGTAGTCGTAGCTACAGACGCCACTGACAACTATTTCAACTTCATCTCCCTGTCATCCAGTCTGTCGACGAAGGACATTGAGAATCGGAACAAAGCACTGGGTCTCTTTGAGGTGCTGAAGAACGATCCGGAAGCTTTCCACAGCCACATGACCAAGTATGTGTACCCCAGCATCGAAGGCACGGACCTGGGCCGCATGCTTTACTACTACAGCCTGCTCGAGGCCTGTGGCATCCCCCATACAACTGGGGTGACTGTCAAACCAGTGGATCACATCAAGCTGTTGAAGAAGCTGAAGGCAGTGGCTGTAGGTATGTAGCCTGTGATTTGCTTCTCCGTCTCTGTTTGGTGACTCATCCGATGGAGGTTTATCTGTTTGGCGCACCGGTGAGATCGCTCTGCCGACCCTGGGATTCGAACCAGTCACCATCTGCTCACAGGCACAGTGTCCTGACCTGCTGAGTCACAACCTGCCCCAACAAAAGTATAAAACATTTATCCACTCATCCACATTTCGTAACCACTCATCCACGTTTCGTAACCACTCATCCACGTTTCGTAACCACTCATCCGGGAAGCGGAGGGCACTAGACATGGACACACCCTGCATGGAATGCCAGACCATTGCAGGGCACACGCCTGCACACAGTATAGATGATTCAGATGAGCCAGTTCTCCCAAATCACATGCTTTTGGACTGCAGGAGGAAACTCACATAGGCACATGGGACATGGGCAAACTCCATACATGCAGAGCAGGGGGTGGGAATCGAACCCACAGCATTAGAGGTGCATGTACACCACTGCATATTCAATAAATTTTTATATAGCACCTTTTACAGCAGAGTCACCCACAATGTCCATAAGTCCATAATTGAGTCAGGTCTCCACACTGGTCTGTGTAGGACAGATTGTAGGCTGCATTCATGATCTCATATGCGCATGATATGGACTCCTCCACTGCAGGACTTTATAACATAAGGATCGTTAGCTTTTCAGACAGACCGTTGCCAGTGGCACCTTTTGCCGACACGCCTTTCCTTTGATGTCCCATGTGCCCCAGCTGCGCCCTAAGCATGTTGTCGTGACGGGGACACAACCTCAGAGACTTAGGATACATTTTTCATATTCACCATGAGTCAGCCTGGCAATTTCCCCTCCCGACACAAAATGTGTTTCTCTGTTGAGATCACAGGGCCTGAAAACTTTGAAATATGAAACCATTTTTTAATACCATATGTCTGCCGGCTTCTTGTTTGTTTTTGATGTCTTTGTACTTGTCCTTTAAGAGATTTTAGTGCCGGTAAATTTTGTTCTCTGATGTTTAATGCAATGCAGCGCACGATGGGGGAATGACGGAGATCAGGTGGTGGCGTTCTAGACAGGAAAGTGGCTACTGAAACATATTTAAATCAGCGTTGTCATGAGTTCAAAGTCTGATAAATCTATTTCTCCATGGTGAGCTTTGAATGGCGGTTTGCAGAAGCAGATTTCACCCTTTAGGGTCTGAGTTATAGTATGGAGGTATGTGTTTTCTTTTAAGGCTTGATGCGGGCCCTGAACAATCACATCAGGTGACTAAATCAGTCATATTTGATTGGATTCTCAGGGTTGGACTACAGGAAGATGACGGACGAGGACTCGGACCCTCTGGATGCACTGGAGCCGGTGCTGAGTAGCCAGAACGTCCTGTCCATCTCCAAGCTGACGGCGAGGTTGCCCCTGAGAGAGGGGGTCGCTCTGTCCCCCAGCCGGGTCCACGCCACATGGCTGCGTAAGCTCTTTTGGAACGGGGACCCCCAGGTTCTGCGGAAGCCTCCGCAGACAGACTCGGATTTCCTTCATGCCTACGATGCCTGCGCCAAGTACTTCGAGCGGCTGCTCCCCGCGGACGCCGTGGCCTTCGTGGACGCCGTGACCTTCTCTCCGGAGGCGGTGGAGCGGGTGAGTCGCCCCGGCGCATGTGTGACGGACTGAGCCACGGCCCCCTGCCCTCCGCCAGAAATCCCACCTCCGAGGCGTCCGCCACCGCTCTCCTCCTCACGGCACCCTGGAAGATGTGATATCTCGTAGCTCCGCCGAGTGAAGCCCCACGCCTTTTTTCGAGGCCCGCCGCGGAACCCGCCGTTGCTAGGATACGTCTCCTTTTGTGTTCGCCTCAGCCACTCCGGCACGTACTGGGGCTGCTCCATCTTCCAGCAGAGGCCCTACATTTGCGATGGGGGAGTCTGCGTAAGGGGAGGGTGCCTGTGACGTCCTTGGGTGGGATGCTTGACCTTAGCCAGGAGATGAATCAGAATATCTACTTGTGTAGATGGAGATAAGAAGCATGATGGGATACTTATAGATCTTTATATATATATATATATATAGATCAAAGTGTCTGTCAGGAAGATAATTGAAATGCTACAACATACCTCCTGTCTGTGTACCTCTGTCTCATGTCACCCCCACTTTCGGTCTGGGTGTTCCCGTCTCTCCTCCCGCTCTTGCCTGTGTTCTCCCGTCTCTCCTCCCGCTCTTGCCTGTGTTCTCCCATCCGTCCCCCCGCTCTTGCCTGTGTTCTCCCGTCCGTCCCCCCGTTCCCGTGCTCCCGTCCCTCCCCCTGACTCCTGTCTGCGTGGGTACTCGCACAGCATACGTGCGGATAAGGAGCAATGGGAGCGCACAGTTTGTTGTGTTGATGCCTTGCCAGCAACTGGCCAGGCAAAAAAAAATCAATGTACGGTAAAACTGTTTTTGTTTTTTTTTTCTGATGTTCTGTCAAGCTGTATCCTCATATTTTCACCAATTCTCCATTTTATGGGCTGGAAACCAAAAAAAAAAAAAAAAAAAACGCTCAAAATTGTTTTTCAGAAACAAAAGTAGGCGCTTATGCTCAGGAACTCACTGTTCCTGACCCATCCAGTGAGAACATATTTCCCACCCTGTCTGCTGGAGCCCTTATAACTAAACACAGCTGCCTCAGAACAGCCCTTTCCGCCGTGGCTTCAGCATCGGCTCCCTTAGTTCAGACAAACGACAGACAGTCACAGTGTGTTTTTTTTCGCGGTGCTGTATCACCTGCCTGATTCTGACCACTGGTTGCCTCTTTCTTCCCATGTCCTGCGGTCCCCTCATACGGCCGCGCAGCTCAGCATCGACACCAGGTCGGAGGTGACGAAGCGGGCCCTGAAAGCCGTCCGGCAGCTGGGCGAGAAGGCGAAGAGGCGTGGCGCCGACGAGGCCGAGGCGTGCGGCGGCGGCAGCTTTGACGACGCCCTGAGGCACCTGCAGGGGTCGCTGGCTCACCTGGACACGCTCAAGCATGGCTTTCTACAGGCACTGCAGGACAGCGGCCAGGTAACCAGGAGTGGCACGCTGCCTCCCCCCCCCTGCCCCCGCCCCACAGTGGGCTCTGTCGGCTTCTGGGACCGATCTGTTGGATCAGCGGAATCCAGCTTGTCGGATCAGTGTCTCGCCCATCCATTCCAGCCTGTTTGCTAGCTTAGGCAGATGCTGCAGTAACAGTGTGACGGTTCCATACCATGGGAGAGAAATACTGAGAGAGTACCTGGTTTTTGTTTGTTGAGTCTTGATTGTATTTAACTACAGAAGCCTGTATTTAACCTGATTGCAGATGGATGTCAGGTCATGTGATTTCAAGTCATGTGATGTGAGGGGACCAAACCAGGCACTCAGATATACAGTCTCAGTCCTCCCCTCCTGGGTCCTCCTCAACCCTCATCACCAGCTAATATTTAGTTCAAGATGTCGCAGTTACAGGACATGGCTGACGGGGGGGCAGACACACAGCCAACAGGTGTGGGGGGGACTTGTGGCATTAACATGACCCACCCCCCACCATATCTCTCTCCCATTTAATGTCCAGGAGCGACTGCAGAAGTACTGCTATATGTACGACCTGTCCAGGTCGGAGGAGGAGAAGATCCGCGAGCTGGCAGTCGCCATGGTGACGGATGGACAGCCACTGGACCGCATGCGACAGCTGCTCGACGTGGCAGTGGGGCCTTCGGACGTCGCCCCCGGCCGGGTAGTCCAAGAAGCCATCGAGAGAGCTGTGTCGGTGCTGAGGTATGCGGCCTGCACCCCCCCCTCACTTTCTCCCAAACTGCTCGCCACATAGAGGGCGCCCTCTCGGCCTGGCATTAACCCCTGTCAGGCGTGATCTGCCGATGCCTGACCGAGGGGCACCGACCCCAGCCTCAGCCTCACCCGCTGGCCACGTCTGCACCTCACTAATAATAAAATTATTTCATGTGTCGGGGGTGGAAGCCTGTCTTCCCTGGAGCCATGCCTGCTCAACCCGCCCCCCCCAGGGTAAGCACTCGTACTAGTAAGACAACATGTCCATTGCTTTCATTTTTATTTCACAACAAGCTATGAAAATGTGTGTCGCACTGTAACACAAAAGAATGACCAGTTTTTTATCATTTCTTTTTCTTCCTAATACGGCATTCAAGGAAGTGGTCCATATTACATGTTTGACAGCTAGGACCGGGAAAAGCAGCTGATAAAATCCACGGCAGCCGTGTATTTGTGCTACTGCATTATATTATTGTTTATTTGTTCGTGGAGTGTAGTTGTGACAGTCGCTGCCGCATTGGATAAGCATGACGAATTTCTGTCAGGCAGTACCCTGGCCTCTCTTGGGGTCCTCTGCTGCTTGTGTACCCAGCGGCATGTGCCACAGGTGTGCTGGTGCGGCCAGAAAGTAATGGCTATACGGCAGGCTGGGGCATTTATTTTCTGCGGAGGGCCAGTCTGAGCTTCACCGTCAGCAGGGGCCATTTTTTATGATTATTTCATGTCACATGAAAGGTACAATATAGGACTTGTTAAATTGTTGCTTCTTTTTAAAAAATGCATGCAGAAATCAATAGAACCAGTGAATTTTTAATGTTCAACTTAAGTTGCTATCTTTACAAACCAAACATGCCACTCTTTGTTTAGACCTACATTCAAAATCAATTTCGATTTTTTTTTTTTTTTTTTGCAAAGCCTTCTTTCTGTGTGATGGTATGAAAGGGTTTTTTTTCCTTCTTAATTTAATGATCGAGTGGGCCAGTAAAATATCTGGCCTGTGTACTGGCTTTTTCCCAGTTCACCTTTATGGATATATCCTGCCACTCCCAGGATCAGCTGTGCTGCATCCATCACACACGTTAGATATTTTGGGTGTAAGAGCTGAAACATGGCTCTGAGAACCTGAATCTTCATCGTTGCAGAGGATGACCGCCTTCCCTGTGGCCCAGGGGCGTCAGAAGCATTTTTGATGTGGGGGGGACACACTGGCGGGGGGTTAGGGGACCCTCCCCAAGAATTTTTTAATGAATTAGATGCCATATGTGTATTCTCATATCAATCAAGTGGAATGGATTCTTTTGCAAAGCAATAGAAACAGCACTGGGAGAACTAATATTTTATGTTAAATGTAGGGGGGTCCAAACACATCCCCCTCAGATTTAATGGCAGCGACACCCATGCTGCAGCCTCTTCTTTCTTAATGTTTTCTTGTCTCGATGGCAAGTTCTCGATACGCACAAATGCAATGCAGTTCCTCGGTCAGGCTAGCAGGACTTGCCGGACGAATATATGGTGTAACATTAAACAAGCCTTCGACATCTAATTTCCTGTGGTTTCTGTCTCTGCTCATTTATTTAAGAGCGTCATGAATTTTCCACGGAGGCCATTTCAGTTTAATCACAAGAACCAGTTAGACATTTCTTGAGATTATTTGCAGAAGTATAGCAGTGCATACTTAGCATTTATGTGTGTGTTGGATCATCGGGTGGATGAATCGATATCACGTCAGCATGTGAAGCGCCTGTTTGAATGCGGTGATCTATGCCAAAGAGCCTAATAACATCACGGACCTCCTTTCCTCTTCCGTCACGCCCAGATTCTTATGTTAATCGGATTCATTCAGAGAAGCCGCTTCATTAAAAGCCATCTTTCATATCTGCACATATGAGATTTTCTGTCTAGCAGTTTTGTTCCCGCTCTAAGTAAAATGTCTGTTTTGTGGTTATGTAAAGCCTCCTGCTGCCATAACGCATCAGTTTTCACCAGAAGAGCTTAGAAAGGCAGGGGTAGGTGCTGTTGGATTTATAGGGTAGGTTGTCCTTCATTTGATGGAATTTTCTCATGAACTGGGCCTGATCGACTCCTAGGCGTGGACACGTTCTTCTTTGGAGATGCAGTAATGTGTTCTTGTAGGGGTTCCAGATTCCTCTTCTCTGTGAAGTTGGTGCTCCTGCTCTACCACTCGCTTCAGGTTATTCCCTCACAGAAAGACCTCGCCGCCCCCCAGAGTATGAATTGTCTTTTTGACCTGCACCCACCCAGGCAGATATGATGCATGCTGGCTAATGAAAACTGGGGATTCATTATCAGAATAATTAACAAGAATACTATAGGACTTAACACTGTTCGCTGCCCTCCGTCACCATAATGCAGCTCAGTAACACTAAGCTAATCCTGAGCTGTGGGTTAGGGGTCTTTAAAGGCCCACATCCAGAAGGTCTGACTGAATGTATGGTGTCAGAATCGCCATTATTACCGTGGTGTTAGTGTCTTAGAAGACAGCATAATGAGTAATTGCCATCTCTCAGCTCTCGCCTTCAGTATGTTTTAAGCTTAATGGGTATGGCCTGTTTGATAATGATTAGTAGCCGTATCATAAGAGAAAAACCTAAGTCTTTTTTGCAATTTCATACCACCGAGTTCCATGCTGTACTGAACTATATTACACAGCCTCAGTATTATATTACAAAAACTACAAAACGGTGTTCTGTACTGTCCTTGATTACCATTCTACAGAGCTCTATGTAGTGAGTTATACTGCAAGAACTGCTGAATGCTGTGTTGTACTGTACTGCAGTATACTATACACCTCAGGGGTAGCGTGTGGCTCAGTGGGCTAAGCCTGTGCTTGTGATCAGAAGGTTGCCGGGTCAAGCCCAGCCTCAGCACATCCATGGGTTCTTGAGCGAGGCCCTTGACTTCCGTCTCCCTGGGTACTGCAGCAGGTGGTTGCCCTTCTTAGGGAGGCATAAAAGAGGATTTCCTCACAGGGATTGATAAAGTATCTATTATTATTATGATACTTCAGGGCTACTTGTACTGAACTATACTACACAACCTGGTTATCATACTACAGAGCTCCTTGTACTTAACTATACTACACAACCTCAGTATTATACTACACGAGCTGTAGACATGTGCTTTGTTGTACTGAACTATAGTACACATTCTGAATATTATACTGCAGCAGAGCTCCATACTGAATTGCAATATACTAAAACAGTGAATGTTATACTATACGTAATGCAGAGCTCCATACTATATTAATGTGTGGGGATATTGATGTGCCACATAAGGCTCTCATATTGCATTTCAATGTACTGCACTGCTATGTTGAAGCCCTGTTAATGTGTCCTGATGCACTGCCATGCGCACGACGCACCAGCACCCTGACGGTATTCATTGGAATGTCTTTTCGGTTGTAGGCGTTCAGGGTTATCGCTTTCTCTTCTTTTCACAGAGGAGACGATGCAGCTCTGATAGATGACCAGGACCCCATGGACGTCCTCAGGGGGATTGTTACATCTGTACGCGCTGATGTCCAATCAGGGTAAGTCTGTCATTGTCTGTGCACGCTGATGTCCAATCAGGGTAAGTCTGTCATTGTCTGTGCACGCTGATGTCCAATCAGGGTAAGTCTATCATTGTCTGTGCATGTTGATGTCCAATCAGGGTAAGTCTATCATTGTCTGTGCATGTTGATGTCCAATCAGGGTAAGTCTATCATTGTATGTGCATTAGGGCTGCCACTAATGACTATTTTTCTATGGATTAACCTGTAGACTATTTTACCAATTGGTCGATTAATTTAAACTATTAACCCCCTGGGACCGGCGATCCCGCCGGCGGGATCTGACAGAATTCTCGCGAGACCGTTTAAATAACTCCGCGAGTTTTTAGATAGGTGAAATATTTTAAAATGTCAAGGCATGTCAGACTACTTCGAAAGTGGAAAAAAGGCCTCAGGCCCCAGGGGGTTAATTTTCCTCTTGAAAATCAAATTTACCGTTTAAGTTAATTTTATTTTGACAACAACAAACTGTATATCATTGTAGGACTTCACATAATGGACATCGGCTTTTCGCACTATATGGACAGTATTTTCGCCCACAATTCGATAAGCAGATTAGTAGTATGTCTAATATTAATATTAATGAGATGCGTATTGTGATGCCCAAACTTAGTAATCTGTATAAATTCTGCATACCTTTATGCTTATTAAATTCGGTTAGCGGAGCTCCCTCCGTACTTCTGTTCTGGTAAATCGTGGAAACAATAAGCACTGAAGTGGAAGAAAGGGCAGCTTAGCAACCAGAACAACTTTTAAAAGAGGCGATATCGTGGATAAACAAGGTAAAAGACATTGGTGGTGTGGTGGTACTTTTTGACTACGCAGAAGAAGCCCAGATTTTAACCTAAACATTTTCTCTAATACTTATTCACTGGAGATTCTAAGGTAGCAGGCAGACACCTTTATGACTTTAATAATGAGTGTATTTAGCTGCTACAAGGACACAACGTACTAAAAAGCTCTCTGTACTAATGGTGATTTAATAAACATGAATAGACAACATGGTGGTTTTACCTATTCTGGCGGTCCATCCTCCAGAATAGCGTCTGTGTGTTTTTACTTTGCAGAGTGTAAAACCTCCTTTTTGTTTAGTGATAATTTGAACTACTCCCATAATTACGTAGTGAAATTAATGGGAAACAATTGTCATAGTGAAGTGAAGTGTTTTAAAAATCATAAAGGTAATTTTGTTAAAATAATAATAATAAAGCAATGTGTCGACTTATCACAGCAGCCCTAATGGTACATGCTGATGTACAATCAGGGTAAGCCTATCATTGTATATGCATGCTGATGTCCAATCAGGATGAGTGTGGCATTGTCTGTGCACGCTGATGTCCAGTCAGGTTGAGCGTGGCATTGTCTGTCCAGGCAGATGTCCAATCAGGTTGAGCGTGGCATTGTCTGTCCAGGCAGATGTCCAATCAGGTTGAGAGTGGCATTGTCTGTCCAGGCAGATGTCCAATCAAGTTGAGAGTGGCATTGTCTGTCCAGGCAGATGTGCAGCTGATGCCTTTACTCTCCTGGAGGCCCCCTGCTTGTGTCAATGTGCTCCCTATTTCCCTTCCGACTGTATATTGATTTGAGTCCCCACCCCCACCCATTACCTTCCTTTAGTCTGTATTGATGTGGCCCCCCAACACCCATAATCACTGTGCCCCCCACCTTCTCCCCTCTGCTGAGTATTGACTCGTCCTCCACCCCCCATCCCCCAGCGGCGGCCTGGTCTCCTCGGACGACCTCCTAGGCTGGCTGCGGCCCTTCTGCGCAGACGCCTCCATGTCAGCCCGGCCGCGCATCCAGGTGCTCCAGGTGTTGGAGCGGGAATTCCCCCTGAGCGACCAGGACGCTCAGCTGCTGCTGCTTTTCCGGAGCCAGGCCGTGCTGAAGTCCTGCTGGCCCGACAAACAGGTATGACCCTGCCCCTGCCTTCACCCCAGCAGACCCCCAGCTCCACACGCCCTGTCAGTGCCGTCGTCCAAAGCGTTAATCATTCGCTGCTCTCACATCTATCCCACCATTGTTCAGGTCAAGTGGCATCTAAACTTAGTCCCTTAACTGCCTCGCCACCTTCTACTCTGCTGGTGCGTAGTTTGAAAGGAAAATGCCTAGTTGTTTAGAGCAGTGTTTCCCAATCTGGTTCTCAGGGACCCACAGCCGGTCCATGTTTTTGCTTCCTCTCAGCTCACAGCGCACCTGTACCAGGTATTTGGTGTTCCTGATTGGCTGGGAGCTGGGAGGGAGCAAAAACATGGGCTGTCCGGGACTCCCTGAGGACTGGGTTGGGAAACGCTGGTTTAGTGTGTGTTTGTTTTTTTTTTGCCTGCCCCCCCTTTTGTAAACTGCCCTTCTTTGCCACAGATTAGACACTTTTCTTCTAAACTCTGACAACTTGATGGCTTTTGCATGATACACTGGAGTGGTTACCAGTCTGCTCCTCCCAGCTGAATGGGGACATAAATGGAATTTCGAGCCTAAGAATGCTTGTACTTTATTCCACTGAACATCTAGGTAAGGCAGTAACCGTAGCGCTCACCCGTTCCCATTTCAGTGTCTGTAAAAGCTGTGCGTTTAACGGCAGGAGGCAGAGATCAGGATGCACCGAGACTCCCTCCTCGCATCACATGGCATCTGTCATCGCGACGACCCTCCCGGCGGGCCGTGCGACACCCAGTCGGGCTGGAGAGATCGCACTTTGTCTCGCACTTCGTGTAGTGATTTTACCAGCCCTCACACTCCCATCCTGTCCAGCTCAGTGCAGCCTCCCCTGGGTTCCCCGGTGTCACCCAGGCAAGAACGCCCGTGGACAGAGGGTCCCCGAGCTGATCATTAAAGAAAGCGTGATTTCAGCCTCACCTGCCAGCCGTGACATCTGGCTGCCGGTAGGGTGTGAGTTCTGGGCCCTGAGCGTTTCTATTCCTACCGCAGTCGTCGACGGGAAATTCATCTGCTTCACATCTGCCCTGCCGATGTATATTTATCTATACAAAACTACAACACTAATTACAGAGTCTGCCCCCTGTGTTTTATTTTGTGCTCCTTGACCCTGCTGGTTCCTAATGATACCATGAGAAGGTGGCATAATGTAGCCGCTCCCCTCCATGCTAGTGCCAAGTTAGCGTATTGTTAGCTGCCGCAGCGCTGGCCATTGGTGACTCAGCGCTCAAACAGTCCGCGCCACTGGTAATGAGCAGGCGTTGAAGCTAAAATGGAAACGGACTGAATCCGGCCCATTTTGTGCAGAATCCGTCGAGCTCGATGCCGTCTGAATCATTCTTGTGAGCGGTTAATTAGCACATCGTGAAGATCCATCTTTCCGTCTTTGTGCCTTGCGTGATCAGGCCGCGTTACTGCCACTGTTACGGGGTTGGGTGCTGCGGTGACTTGCATTGGCCGCTCTCCTGCACCGCGTGGGCTGGGTTCTGTTCCCCGGCTCTCTGCATGTGGCAGTCGTGTGTCCCTCCTCGCCTGTGTGACTTTCCTGCAGGTACTCCAGCTTCCGCCCACAGTCCAGAAACATGCTGCTTAGGTGACTTGGCAATTCAAGAGATGCCCGCAGTGTGGGCGCGTGGAACTCCAGTCGGGGTCTTCCCTACCCTCCCTACCCTCCCACCTTCTGCTTCTTGGGTTTGGCTCCAGACTCGCGGTGACTCTGTACTGAATAAACAGGATGGATGTTCTCCATTTGGAATCTCCCCTCCAAAGTAATTTGCTTCGAATTGTTTTTTCCCCCCCATGTACCTCTTTGTGAGCCGATTCAAGACAGTCGCTGTAAGGTCCAACAGCAATACCCAGCCCAGGAGTTAGAAGCTGGAACCCTGTGATCATCGGTTCTTTCCTGTAACCACTACAGCACCTGCTGGGGTGTGAGCCCCAGCTAACATCAGTCGGACGAGGGTCCATCTGTCTCTGAAGTACAAGTGCTGGCATTTGAGTCGGCATCACTTGCAGGGGACTAATTAGTTTGCCCCAGAAAACCAGATGGTATTCTCTCCATTCTTCGCGTTTGATAGTTATGGCGTTGCTTAGCAATTTGGCATCGGTGCACGGAATAGTACGACTGTCTCGAAGGCCCCTTACGAGGCCTGTTTACCAGGCTCTCACACCCTGTGACTGACTGTTATAGTGACACTGACAGACAAAGCTCAATACAACATCCTTAATCTCGACTGGGACGTTGGAGACACTAAGATTTAGCTCTGTGGCCCTAAATTAACATTTATTCATCTGATCCTTTTATCCAAAGCGACTTTCAATACAAGAAAGGGTTATATAATGTGTGCTTTCTGGGATTTGAACCCATGCCATTTATGTTGTTAGCGCAATGCTCCGCTTGTTGAGCTATAGGAGCAAACAGTGCCTGGCGATGTCACTGTTCCTTCCTGCTCTTGCACGTGTTCTGTGTTCACTGCGGCACGCATCTGCCAAAAGAGACAGTTTGTGGTAAGGGTGCAAAAGAATGTTTAAAAGTGTGAATTTACACTGTAAATGAGAAAGTGTGACCCGGACCATTCTCTGGGGGAGGGGGGCTGGTGCATAGTGCATGTAGAATAATGGGAGGCAGCATTTTTACAGCGAAAAACATGTATCCTGGCTGTCGGGTGAAATTAAAGACTTGGTAAATTACGATCCTGCACATCTGTGGTAGCAGTAATAGCAGTTGTAAGATAAACACCTCTGTTAGCTAAAATGGTGATGATAGAGTAATAATACGTTAGTGCAAATATGAAACGTAATTTTATAATCACTTCATGTGACTGTGGTGACCTTTTCACCTAAATATCGCCTGTGCAAAATGAGTGTCGCTTCACGCTGTAAAAACGTAATTTCACACTGCAGGCATCTTCTTTATTGTCTTGTTTCTTGATTCTCTTGACCTGCAAACACACATTTGTTGTCCAGCAAATGTTTTTGAAGTTCTGAATGTTTTTCTCCACGTAGAATAGGGTTTGCTGTCAATGTTTTTTGGAGTGCCTGTGTGTGCGTGAGCGTGTCACGTGGCCACAAACCCTGACCGCAGTGTGGGCCCGTCAGTACCACAGTAACCGCAGTGCTGTGAGTCGCTGCAGTGGGACGGCCCTTAGGTGTGCGCCGCAGCTGTGTGGAGACCATGGGAGGGGGCAGCTGGCCAATTCCTGATCGTGGACCTGAACCTGTGTACTGACGCTTTCATGAAGTCACCATGGGAATTGCTTACACGTTACTGGTGGGGGGGGGGGGGTGGCTGGCCACGGTGGAGGGATGCGCTTAAACGCGGCTTTTGGCTCCGCCCCCTTTCCTCTGCCATGGCCCTCAGGGCTCTCGCCACGTGCTCCTTACTCTCCCCACTCCATCCTCGCTTGGGCATCCCCTCCTTAACGAGCATGTAATTGCTTCTGAATGCGGTGGGACGGCCGGTCCTCGCCACGGGCGCCGTGATGAATCAGCCGTCTGCTCCGGGGGCCAGGCGCCAAACGGGGAAACGTCAATGCCCCCCCCCCCGACTAGACGTAATCCACGGCGCTCCGTCGGCATCCGGTCGATCAGAGGCGCTTTTAATGAAGACATCCATCCAAAGAGCCGGGCTCGGTTATAGAAGGGGCTATGCGTTGCATTCGCCTGTGTGTGTGTGTGTGTGTGTGTTACGCTGCAAATGGAGACCTGTCGGGTGTTCGGGGGGATCTCGCGAGGCTAATGACTCTGCAGGCAGGAGATTTCTCTTACGTTCAGGGTCAGTTTAGTGATGAGGGTGCGCCGGGGAAACGTCCGTCCTGAAGCTGGTCTATCTCACGTTTGATCAGTCTCTGGATGGTCCTGCATGTGGGTAATTGAGTGAATCCGGATAAAAAAAAAAAACAAACGGATTTCTGGCCTGCCACGTCTTTGTCTCTCAGTGAAAGACCCACCCCCTGGCCTTGAATTTCCGCATTAAACATCACCCTCCAATCAATAGCACACATCTCCAGAGGGCCAGGACCAATGGGGTTCCCAGTCAGGAAGCAGTCATCCGGGGCGACGGCATTCAGATACCCTCCCTCTCAGGAACTGCTCTTCTCCAGCGGTGTCAAGCGTTATTTGTTACTGGTAAACAAGATATATGAGGGGGGTAACATGGGGGTGTGAGGCCCTCCCACCGCCGACCTCCTGCGAGTTTCTGTGGCCGGGATTTGTGTTGAAGCTGCACTTGGGGTCCTGGATAATCTTCTAAGTCAGGCTTTGCATACATCAAAGTGGCCTTAATATTTAATTATGCTCTAGGTGATATAAGCAGCTCTCCCACAAATCAATGTGGTGCCGGGAAGAGGGCCAGCTGCTGGTGAATTAGCAGGCTGTCTGCGCATGCGCAGGCAGGCAGGCTGCATGCTCGCCCATCCATCTGTGACCCCCCCCCAACCCCACTCTCAGCCGCAGTGATTATCAGCGAAGGATTAAATACGCTGAGGACTTGCGAGTTTCCACATAGCGGCACACAGCCGCATATCTGATCCGGATCTCTTAATGTGGGATTTGACCCCATACCCCTACTTGCATATTCAACTCCCTCATGAATTTGGCTGCCCCGTTATCTGCTTAACTGGCTCAAGCCAGACAGGGTCACCCTGCGGGGGCCACCATGCGGGAACCCCCCCACATAAAGTTTTTTTCCATACCCTGCTTTTACTGCGTTGACAGTGTTGCTGCTTTCTGACCATAGAAGCTGACTCACCATAAATGAATATTGATAAGTGGTTTTGATTGGCTGGGAGGAGCTGAGAGGCTGGTTCAGGGCATTTGGGGGACCTGCGGACTGCCTCTGCAAACCCCTCCCATTCCTCACCCCCTACCCCCTGGGGCGGGTGTTAATATTCCTGAAGGTTCTCTGTTTTCCTGCTCGTCTTAATGGCCTCTCAGCCTTTGCTGTGGCGTGGTATACATCAGCCGTCGATAGCCAT